GGCTTTCATGCCTAAGGCGGGACTAGAACTCACAGTCTCCTGCTTTCTAGCCTGGTGCCTTCACCACTAGACCAACTCAAATATAAGAATAATTCAGCGGGGAGGGTCAAGTCCATGCCAGCAGAACAGGAAATATTATTCCTGGATTCAGCCCTGCAAGTCCTGCGATTCCCTCTCCAGTTCCATGCCCACTGAATCTCTGAATGTTCCCATGCCTCGGAGATGTGTATTCAGAACTCCTAAATGTCAGGACATTAATTGGCACTTCTCCTTTTTACTTGACTGTGTATTGGCTTTAATAAAATATTATATGGTTGTTGTACAGTATGGCACGTGTGGTTTTTTTTGTAGATATGTACAGTCTACATTTGGCAGCATAATCATGTCTTTTTTAAAATGGTGCCTTAAAAATGGTACAAGCAGCAGGAAAAGTAAAAAATAACTGAGGTTAGCCTGATTGGATGAGTTGTAGCTGGAGAAATAAACACAACTCAAACCCTTCTGTAACAGCCTGATTGGTAGAAGTGACCAAGCGCTGAGAGCTACCCCGAAGCCCAGCAATCCTTTTTAAACGCTTGGGGCGTGGGGGAGGATTCCCCTAGGAAACTCCAAAGCACTAGTTACTATGGTAGTCAAAACAGGAGCCATCTGGACTGTTTGGAAATGATTTAAATGCTCCAATTCAACCCCCTTCCAAAACAATTTCTACATTTTTTGTGAGTGAGAGACTGTGTATGTGTGTGTTTGTAACATCAGTTCTTTATAATCCAAAGTCTCTATTTTAACACTGAACCACCTTTTTTAAAAAAAAAGATTTCATGTCCCTATTTATTTAATATACATTGAATCACATTTCCCTCTCTCCTTCTCTCTTTATAGTAGCTGTATATTTTCATTTTTTTATTTGTCTACTCTTAAGAACATTTTTTTAATTGTAGAGCAAAAAGTAAATGCAATCAACCAACCAATCAATATATTTTGCTTTAATTTAAGGCACAATTCAATCCGACGACAGCTCAATCTCTCCAACCCTGACTTCAACATCCAGCAGATCCAAAAGCAGGAGCAGCTGACAGGGATTGGACGCATCAAGCCGGAGCTGTATAAGCAAAGATCAGTAGACACAGATGATGGTCGGAGAAATAATAGCAAGTCTTGTGGGAAAATCAATTTTATTATAAAATATGATTGTGACTTAGAACAACTTATAGTGAAGATTCACAAAGCTGTCAGCCTGCCAGCAAAGGATTTTTCTGGGACTTCAGACCCTTATGTTAAGATCTACTTACTTCCAGATAGGAAAACAAAACATCAGACTAAAGTGCATAGAAAAACTCTTAACCCAGTGTTTGATGAAGTTTTTTTATTTCCTGTTCCTTACAAAGATTTGAGTTCAAGGAAACTTCACTTCTCTGTGTATGACTTTGACCGCTTCTCCAGGCATGACTTGATTGGCCAAGTGATAGTGGATAATTTTTTAGAGTTATCCGACTTTCCCAGGGAATGTAATATTTGGAAGGATATTGAATATGTCACCAATGTAAGTATATCCTTTTTAATTCTGAAATTCACTATTTTGTTACGCTGTCAGCCTGTTTATCTGCAAACAAAATGAAAAATTCATGGAAAAAGACCCAGGATGTATCAACCTAGTGCAGACATCATCAGTAGTAAGTGTTTTGTTTATAGAGGAATTACCTTCTTGTTACAAAGATATTTGTCCCTTATTTCTGAATTCCCTTCCTAAATATTAGAAGTATGCAGAGATCACTTGATCCTTCTCAGGGCCTGATCCAGAAATCTGAGAAAGGCCCAACTTGATCCTGATACTTCTGAAGGTAATCAAGTCTGACTCAATGTCTCAGCAGTACTAATATTAGCCATAGCTCAGTGTTGGATGGAGAGTAAGATTGTGAATAATGTTGTACTCATCTCCTGTAATATAGTATAGCTGTATTCTTTTTGTCAAAGAATAGATTTACATTAAGCTGGAATTGTATACAGAAACAAAGCCTGCCGAATTTCATAGCAAGTGGCGCAGAGGTCATACCTCTGCACTCTTTTGAAATACCATTAAAAAAACTTTGTTGTTTGGGGGATTATATAGCTCACTTTACAATAACAGTAGCCTCTGTGCTGAGGAGCATTGCTTACAAATTCTACACAGATAGATGAAGGAGGTTTTGTGCAATGGGCAAGCATGTATGCAAAGAATATTGATGCTGCTTTCTGAATGTTATAAAGATGATTGTTGGAAAGGGAGGTGGAACTAGAAGGAATTAACTCATTGGTCCTTCCCCATACGACAAATCATACACTAGGGCAGGTCAGCTGGCTAATGGCTGACAAAGCATAATCACGCAACTTCTCAGGAAAGTAGACAGTGCAAGAGTAAGGTACAGTACATGGTTAAACTATGGTTCTCTCTCAACCCCTGTTTATGCTATGATTGGTGAGGCAAAAGTTAGTTTGATTGCAAGGTTCACTCTGACTTGATGGCCATTGAATCCAATACTCTATTAATTTTATATAAAATCTCGGGATTGGAACAAAGGAGCCAGACGAACACAGTTCTGCTGTCCTGAAAATCTCTTTCAAATTATTCTGCTTTTTCTTGTAATGGGGTTTCGGACCCATAGAAATATAAGTAATAAAATAAATAAAAATTCAGTGCAAATCCCTATAAATCCCCTGCTATCTTGGATTTTCTGACAATAGATGCTACTTTATAAGTGATTGTGACTTTTTAAACATTAGTAGACTCTGCAAACTTTGTTTCTGAACATTCACTTCCCCAAACTTTCTAGAATCCATCTTGAGTTTATATCTTAAGTTCCCCAGCTGTGTTTCTCTAATATCTTGGAAGCTCTGAAGGCCCTTTACTCGTGTACTCCACAACTGACATCATCAAGACAGGGATAAAATCTGTTGGTTTTTTCCCTTTTCAGTTGTTAAGAGAGGAAAACCATGCATTTATTTGCCATGTATTGTAGACAGACACAAAAATGATCTTGGGGAAGCTAGGCAGAGGGAGTCACAGTTACAAAAACAAAATTATACTTAAGCCCAGGCAACAATGCAAGTGTGAGAAAGAAACTCAGATTGACTCCTTCCTAATTCATTGTAAGAAGTATAGAGGGGAGAATTCAGTCAGGCTTTCAAGATTCTGCTATTACAGCTTATATCAGTAAACTATAGTTCCAGTCAGATTTGTGGAGGCTGTTTCCTGACCTGGCCTACGTCGAAGGGCTGACACGTATGTGGTTCAGCTAATATAAGGCATTTGTGAAGCTTTCCCCCATTCTTTTAGTGATATACAGTATATTGCAGTGCTCTCAAGAAGTTGATTTCACAAAAGCAAGGAGGAAAAAAATAGGAAGAGGATTTTGAGAACCAAGAAGACTGGAGGAGAGCAAATGTTATCATCAACTTAGAAAAAAAGAAAAAAGAAGATCTGGGAAATCTTAAGTCTGTCAGCTTGATGTCTACACTGGACAAGGTTTTCGAACAGATTATCAAACAGCATGTCTGTGAGCACTTGGAAAGACATGCTACAAATAACAAGAGCATGGGCTTGATCAAACAAATCATACCAGGCTAATCTCATGTCCTTCTTTGTCAGATCTTCAAGATAGACCAAGTCAGGAAACAGACAACGCAAGGACTTGTTATAAGATACAGTAATAAAATCTTGGTAACCTGTCAAATGGTACTCAAAAGGAGGCAAAACTCAGAAAAAGTTATGCTTTCTAAACAAGAAACCCATGAATTCTGTTTGCAAATTAACATTTTCTAGCTTTCTGTTGATTTAAGCATTCATAATTAACAGGGTGATTTAAGATTTCTTCATATTTACCTACAGCTTCCCTTTATGGAGGCAGGGGGCAGCGATGGTTCTCACACATGGTAAATTTAATCTCAAATCCTTGTGTGGTAAGCATTGTGTCAAATACTTGGATTTTTGCCACATTTCATGAACCTTTTGCCTGAGCTGAGCGATAAGAAAAAGAGAACTGATTTACTGTGCAGAACAGAAAACACATGGATGTGTTTTGACCATGGTCAGCTCTAAATCTTAGCTGTTCCAATCTCTTTAATTTATTCATCAGTTTTAAACATACTTGCTTCTGAAACCACTGCACTTATTTCTGAATAAATATATTTAGGAATTGTTTTGTCTCTGTTTAGTTCACCATCTTCCAAGGGATTCTCCTTTACCTGCACTTAAATGGTGAGCAGTCAACCCCAAGAGGTAACAGTAGCTTAAAAAATTGAGCAAACTGCGTGGGAAGGAAGGTCTCAAATCAGATTCTTGCAAATACGGATTCCTGCAGATCTGGATTCTTGCAAATTCCACAGGGAAAAGAATGAATAGAGCCTTCCAAAAGCGATATAAAAATATATTCCCAATTGGTAGTACAGAGAACTGATGCACTTCTCTCGCTCAGGCTAATTACTTTTAGCTTTGTATGTTTCCTAAGTAGCATTTTTTGTAGAAACTATACATACAATGTGCTGAGCATTTTAAAAAAGCATTGGAATACAAATATAATAAATAAACCAAAAGTATATTGCAAAATCATTATAATCATGACATTTGTTGGATACACAGGCTGAATTCATATAATATCTCTACCATACTGATTTGAATAAACATTGATGAATTAATCCATGTTTTAAATTAATCCATGTTTTAAAATGCATACAACACATTTAACTATAGGCTAGACACACAAGATACAACGAGATGGCCTTGAGCCAGTAGAAAAGTAAGCCTACATAAAATTTGCTACCCCTGATTGCTGAGCATTATTCTGCCACAGTAACAAGGCCAATGACTGGTACTTCCTTACTGTTTTAATATCCAAGTTAAGGAAAATGACTCCAGCTGTATTTCCCCTCTCACCTAGTTTCCCATACCTATGAGAAAACACTCCCTAATGTGGAGTGGAGAGAGACTGGGGAAGTGTAGATGGGTGCTTGGAACAGTGCCAAGCTGCATATGCCTAGCACTCTTTAATATCTCTGCTGAATGCCACAGCACAAGCTACTGCAGATGCCCAGACAATATTGTTCCCACAAGGAGGTTGGGAAAATACCCCCCCTTACAGATCCCATAGCAGGGAGAAAACAGATCCTGAGCAGAGTGGACATTGTTACAGGAAAGGAAAGAGATCATGGAGTTTAAAATCCATGTCTATAAGAAGCCCCCATGATATCTGACCAGTGCTTCAGGATGTGCTGGTCAGATATTATACAGGCAGATGCTTTTGCAGAATGTCCTGTCTGTCCTGTGGCTCGAGCCAAAGTAGCTATGGAGGGCAGTGTCCAGTGACCTGAGGGCAGGGAACATGTCCAGAGTAGCTTGAAACAGCAGTAGGAGTTGGGCAGGTCTCACTCCTCAACACATCAGCAACCATATTGTCAATGAAGTGTGGTGGGTCATATCCACAGCCAAATGGTGCGCAGAGAAGAGGAAAAACATATTTTAACATTGGAATAGCTAAGGATGGCATTACATAGTCTCAGCTTTGGCCAGGGGTTGAGATGAAGGGAACATCATGAAATACGGCATGAAAACAGTTACCAGGACATTTGTCATGCCACCGTTAGGAGAATGTGAAGATAAATTCTCAGCCTAGGCTTACACAATCCTTTATGTTAAATGTGGTTAGCAAGTTTGTATCCAGTTTGTAGCTGTGTGAATTCAGTCATGCTGTACTAAGTCATGGTCAGTTTTAACCATGATTGATTGAATAAACTGTGGGTGGCTGAGTTTTCACAATAAGCTAACTGACAAACTGTGGTTTACAATCAGTAGTGACTGAATTTGCTAAAAGATGAATCCATTCTCAAATATACCACATTATGGCTGAGCCTGTTCTATGAACTCAGACATTTAACATCTTATTTATATCCTATTTGTTACTCTAAAATAATCCTTGGGATAAGTTACTTATTAACAACAGAAATGCCAAGAGGAAAATTTTCTATAGTCCACTATGGACATCACTTTCTCTGACTATTTTTAACCCAGGTAATATTGCAGACTCGGAAAGGTCACATGAGGGTAAGTGAGTGCATATGTGCATATGCACGTACACAGATACATAAAATGTACAGGAAGCATGTTGAGTGTGGCTCCTGGAATTTCTTCCATACCCTTTATAATACCTCTGCTTGGGATCATGTGACCTAAAGAGAGTAGGAGAGGCTTCATATACAGTGGTACCTCGGGATACGAACGCCTCTACTAACGGACGTTTCGGGTTACGACCAGCTTCGGCAGGAAAAATTTCCCTCGGGTTATGAACTCGCCTCTAGTTACGAACCGGATCTGCGGCCATTTTCCCTGCTGCCACGCGGTCGCGGCTTCCTGTGGGCGAGGTCGCGGTAGCAAGGAGACGTTTG